GGGAGCTCCATGTGAGCGAAGTGCTTTTTACATCATGATAATCTCCTAAAGGCATAATTTATATTATCGCCAAATAGTTTATTAGTCATCCTGTTAACATTCCTACACTGTCTCCATGTAACCTCCTTCCTGGGAAATCCTCAGCCCAAGGGAAAAGTCCATTGAGACCCAAATCTGACTTCCTTCCGCAGGCTCAGAAAAAGGTACACATCTTAGAGTAAGCGAGGAGAAAAAGAAAAATGGCAAGAAGGGAGGAGAAAGAAAAATAGAGAGTGTCCCCCAAAATGGCTAGATTTGAGTTTGGCACCTAACACGGGGCTTCCTCAGCAATGAGAGGGGATAGGGAGCAAATGGGAGAGGACAGCTTTCCTGCTCCCTGGGTCAGGCCGCCACCATACAGCTTTGCAGCTTCGTTATCCAGCTTGATAAACTGAGAGTTCTTCCCACCATAAGGTGTAGATAATTGAGAGCTATCAAGTAGAGACAAAGAACTACCATGTCCCCATTTCAGACAGGGTTTGTTCAATCAGCTAGGCATAATGGACGCCTTGTCCAGTGTTCAGTATTACATTGACTCTGAACCTTAAATAGCTTGAACTCAGCTTATCATGAAGCAGGGGCAGAAGGGTCTCAGGCTGTTTCAGAATAAAAATTCTATGATTATGGAGTCCCTTTGGGAAATCCTCAGTAAAGCACAGAAGAGTCCTGGGGCTATGTCAGTTATCAGCTTTATGGTTCATCTAGGCAGCCCTGTACTGTGACAACCTACACCTGCTAGGTTTGATGATAATTGGGGCATCTGGTACATAGCTAATGTTATAATCTGAAGATTTTGAGAATTACTTGTAAATTACTGTTTACTTAACCCGTGAACTTTATTGTGAAAAAGACTATATCCGATGAAAAATTTATATAGGGGGAGGGTATAGATCAGGGGTAGAGTGTGTGCTTACCATGCACGAGGTCCTGGGTTCAATCCCTAGTACCTCCATTAAAATAAATAAACCCAATAACCCCCCACAAAAAAAAAAAACCAAAAAATTTTTTTAACTTATGCAATTAAAAATAAATATTTGAATACAGTCTGTTGATTCTCTAATATTGTTGTATCAATATACATTTCCTTACTTTGATAATTGCACTGTGGTTATATAAGATATTAATATTTGGGAAAGCTGGATGAAGGTAAACTCTTTGATTTTATTTTGCAAATTTTTTATAAGCTTACGTTACTTCAACACAAAAATTTTAAAGAATGTTTTTAAAGCTTTCGAAAGGCAATTCACAGGGCTTGACAATTTATCCATAATTTGTGCCTGGGGGCCTGGGTCTAGGAAAAGAACAACCTTTCAGCCTCTCTGCTGCCAAAATGATGAAATCCACTGTAGGTCAGATGAAATAATGAACATGAAAGTCTTTGCTACAGTAAACTCCTAAACAAATGTTAACAGTAATAATTATAGTCTTATGTGGAGATGCTTCTCCATAAGTAAAGGAACAAGCCACTATACTAAAAAACGCTATCAAATATTCTCCAAGTAGCTTATAAGATGCTTAGAAATTGCTATCCTGGCATTAGAAAACAGGTAATCATTGATGGATTTTGAGCAAAGCAGGCAAATAACAATAGCAATACTTCAGGAAGATTCAACAAGCCTTTAGTGCACAGGATGAAGGAGGAAGAGCCAGGACCCAGCAAACCTCACTAGGAGTGATTCTAGTAACTTAGGAGTGAATGGTCCTCACTGAATGGACCTGGAAAGAAAAAGCCCAGAGGACAGGCATTTTGAAGGACTCATCGGTCTGGGCGGGATTAGGCTGGAAGTGTGGGTGGAAAGAGAGAAATGAGTCAGTGGTTACTTGAAGACGTCTCGCCAAGATGACTGGGGCAATGCTGGTGTCATGGAGAGACAGATGGAAAATAGAAGGAAGGAGAGACCATACACAGAGCTTGGGCTGCAAACTCCAGTGGATCAGAGGCCAGGCAGGAGCAAAGGGGGGATAAGAGGCAGTGGGGGCTGCGAACTGGAGGACTCATCTCTCTTAAGAGGGTGGAGCCTCCATGGGGGGCTGCTACAACTCGGCATCAGCAGTGCTTGCCATGTGGGAATGTACCTTTGGTATTACCAGATCTTCCATTTTGCAAGAGAAGCCAGAAATCTAGATCTCTTATGTGATAAATGTTAACTCTTTAATGTTGGCAATTAATTTAAAAAATTTTTCAAGCATGGCATGTGCTAAACCAAACACATCTGTGGTCCAGATTTGGCAGGCAGGCTCTCAATTGTGAGCTCTGACAAAGAGAGTAGGTCAAGGGTCAAAGTTCATAAACTGTCTTGGTGATACATAGAAAAATGAAAGACTGTATCTAAAATACTGTACCTAAAGCTTTTCCCAGCATTCTGAACTATATGAACGTCCCTACCCTTCAAGTCTATATTTGGATTTGAATTTCTACAGGAAGTTTAATAATCCTCAAATGGTTAAATCACAAGAATCTGAGTGCTTACTGTGTGCTGAGTACACAAAAGTCAAGGAATTTCAAATCTAACTGGAGAAGATAAAACATGCCCTCCTGAAAACTTGATACATTACGAAACATCCTGGGAGACTGCTTTCTCCACACGGTGTAAGAATATTAGAGTCATCTTAAATCCTGGATTCCCCCACCCCCAAATAATTTCCATTTAGCAAACTTGCGTGTACTTTAACCAGAAGTCTGCTTTCGCGAACACTGGTTACACAGCGGCAGCCTCCATCCCTCCCTCAGCTTGGGAGGGGAGTTAGCAGGGCTGGGGGTACCTGGACGCCGAGAGGAGGATGGGAGTGGCCGGCGGAAAACCGCTCCCGGTCAGGTTTCTCTGCTGAAATCCCAGTCTTTGTTTCTGTCCTTACTCTTTAAGTGTTTGTGTAGGAGAAGGCGGGCACCGAAATAGAAAGTGTCAAAGAGAGGATGGCAACGAAGATAAAAAAAGGCAGGACTTTTTTTTTCAGTCCACCTAGCCCCCTCCGTCCAGAAAGCCAGCGCGCCTCCTCCCGCCGTCTTCAAAGAGCCGTCGGTGGGGCAGGAAGCAGGCGGCTCGGGCGGCGGGTGCTCATAGGAGAGCGGCGATTTCCTCCCGAGCTGCCCAGTTATCTCTGGAGTCGCAGACCAGCTCCCCGAAGAGCGCGTTCTCTCCCCCACCCCGTACTCCTCAACCCACCCACCTACTTCCTCCAGCTCCATACACACACGAGCTCAGAGCTGCCAAAAATTTCCACCCTCCGCCCCCCTCCCTAGCTAACTTCCTTCCAGCATTTCCTGAGCTGGATGATCCTAGGATTTGTAAGACAGGAAAAAAAGGAAGGCGTGAGGGCGGGCGAGAGAGACAGGATGCTCGTTTTTCGTTCCACCGAAGCCGTCTGAAGGCAAGACCGCGCGCGTCGGGGCAGAGGACCCACGGCAGCCCCCCCGTCTGTCTCCGCGCCCCTCGCCGCCGCCGCCGGCTTCCCCGCGCCCTCCGCCACTCCAGGGCTTCCAGAAGGCGGACCGGAGAGCTCGCCCTCCCTCCGAAGCGGAGGGAAGGACCCGAAGCCACCGCGGGAGCCTGTGAAAGTCCCTGGGACTCCAAGGAGGAAGTGACACTCCCAGCGAGCCGGCCCGCGGCTGCCAGCTCCGCACGGCCTGCGGCACCGCGGCCCTGGAGGAGCGCGCCGTGGATTTCAGGCTCCCCGCCCGCGCCGGGCTCTGCGCCCCGCGGGGTCCATGCGCGCCGCCCCGGGCCCAGGCTCTTCCGGACGCCCATGCGGCCCCCCAGCGCCGCGCCGCAGCCACTGATCTAAGCCCCCCGGAGACCATCGTAGGCGCGGTGCCAAGCAGAGGGGAGGGAGAGACGGAGGGGCAACCTCTTCGGGACTAACTCATGAAGAACAAGGGTGCCAAGCAGAAGCTGAAACGAAAGGGAGCCGCCAGCGCCTTTGGCTGTGACCTGACGGAATATCTGGAAAGCTCAGGACAGGATGGTAAAGTGCCTTCGCCTCCCCCACCCCCGTCTTTTTGTTTTAGAGAGAGAGGGACTCTCCTAGGGTGTGCTATGTTCAATTCACAAGTTAATGTAATCCAGGCCTGTGCGCCGTTGTACTTTTTTTTTTAAAGAACATACAAGATTCTTAAGGTGCATAGCGCTGACATCCCGACGTGCAGAGGTTGTGTCAGTCCTTCCGTTTGTGTCACACAAGCCGTTAATGGGCGGTGCTGCTTCAAGTTTAACGGGCTGCCTCGGGGGGGTGGGGGTGGGGGCTCGAGAGGTACTGATACAGAACTTTGGACATCGGAAGGGAAGGAGGAGGGCTGGACTTGTGGGATGGTGTTCAGTGGGCTTCTCTGGGTACATAATTATGACTGCCTTAGGTGTCCCTCCCGGGCTGTCCAATTTCATCCGCTCACATCTTTTTTTATTAATGTGCTGGAAGGCAGGGGGTGCGGTGGATCCTGGCCGGGGGAGTGGTTGCACAAACATTTTCTGAATTTCTGAACTGATGCCAAATATATAGTACCTCCCTCTCTCCCCTTCCCACCCCCTCAGACCCTTTACCTCCTCTTGGCTTTCAAATTAGCATTTGGTGTGTCAGACCAGAAGAGTGTTGTAAAAAGGTCAGAGGGCCTTGATTTTAAAATAGTTTAGGATAAGTAAAAGAACATGAGAGTCTCTTGGTTTTCAAGGTCAGATTGGTGGGTCAGGGATCCTGAGGAGAAGAGACAATTTAAACATTTGTTGGGGGAGGATGAAAGAAAATAGTCCAGAATACAATAACAGCATCTGAGGTTAGATGTTTTTACTCATAGGGAAGTTGGGGAAATTGAGCATTAAATGACTCCTTTTGTAAGGTTGACTGGCCCTGCACTTATCCGTGACAAAAAGGCCTTGTCTTCAGAAACTTCAGTGAGAGAGAAAAAAGTCCACTATATGGGCCCTATGTTTATACATAGAGAGATACAACAAAGGGGGGAAATGAAGGGCTGTTTAACTGTGCAGAATAATTCTGCCTCCAGGAAAGTTATCTCAGAAATGATTTGATTAACTCATATCAAATGTGCATCTCAAAAACAGAGCAATGCTTTTGTTTCTATTTCTTTTTTTTTTTTAAAGACTTAGCACCACCTAGTAATTTGCAGTGGTGTGATATTCCTGCGGTAGTCCTGAGTTCAGTCTGCCGTGTCATTCGGACAAATAGCTTAGTATTTTACAGCTGGGGAACCACAGGTTTCAAAACTGCCTCTTTTGAAATTGGGACACAACTGAATCAATTCATTTAATCCTCTCCAGCAATCTGGAAATTGAAATCTTGAAATAACATTGCTTGGATTGAGTTGTTTTGAGTGTGAGAGAACTCCAAATGTGCATCTTAACCACTATCCCCAGAAGTTCAGAATGAAATGTTGTCCTCTGCCTGTTTTTGCAGAGGGTCTTCATGTTAAGTCCAGGTTCACTTAATGCTCGCAGATACCACGTTCCATCATGTGGGTGCTGCTCTGGGCTCTCACTCCAAAGCTGAGAGTTGCATCGAGCTGCTGCTCAGTCCTGCCCTATTCTTACCACGTCACAGATCATAGGATGAGCCAGGAATCTCAGGGTTCTATGAAGACACCTCAGAGGCAGCCTTAGACAGTTCCTCTTTCACCTGCTTTATATTTGAGGTTTTCACGTATGTTTCAGTTGGAATAAAAAGAAAAGGGGCTACTGCTTAAACACACAAACAAACAAATTGAAAACCAATACCCAGTGCTCCCTGCCCTGGGAGGGAGGGTAGGGGTGGTGAGTGCACAGTGGTAAATTGACCTGCCTAAGGTCATACCATCAATCATGCAGGATGCAGAGGGCTCTGGCACCCTAGGCTCCTCTCTCCCCTCTCTGGCTTCCTTGTCTAGGCCAACATTCTCCTCTAATGATTTTTTCCCCCTAAATTGAAAGCAGAGAGCCCTGCCCCAGGATCAGCAAACTTTCAAGACTGACATACCTGCATAAAGTTCTGCTGTGAAACAGAAGGAAACTGACCCACTTAATCATCCATACACCATTATTGTGCCATGTGGGAATTAGCCATGCATGATAAGCAGCTTACATAAATAAGAATAATTGGGATTTCTTTTTTCTCACATCTAAAACTAGTTAGGTGGTTGTCTCATTTTTGTTATAGTGTAGCATCAATAAATAGAGTCAGTGCCAATGGTTTTCTCTAAAACAATGTGTCCTCCTTGTGGACTTTCTGAAACATGTATCAGTTAATAGACAAGGCCTGGACTCTGCCCCCAGGGAGGAAAAGCTGACCTGGGCAGTGCCCCTTTGCCCACCGTCTTGAAAGTTCAGCCCAGAATCCTAAGGGTGACAAGTCAGTGTGGTAACTAGGATCCAGAAGGCTAGAGAGGGCCTCACCAGGCTGACATCACAGTTACTCATCTTTGGAGGTCAATGATAGAATGATAGACCTGGGTAGAGACAGAGAAAAATGGATTCAGGTCTAAGAGCACAAGGGCAGAAGGAAAGAACAGAGATGTGGGGAAGCCAAGAGAACTCTGGTGCTTGGGAGGGAGGGAAAGCCCTGAGCTGGGGTGCAGGACAAAGCTGGTGACAGTTAGCTGAGCTCAGGCCACCTGAACATGGGGAAGCTGCACCCTTGGACTGAGCACAGAAGATGAATGTCATCCACATCTGTAATTTGCTGTAGCCCAGCCTTGCTGCCTTTGGTTGGACAGATCTGATGGGGCAGGGTATGCAGGTGACAAATAGGTGTTCAGCTTAAAGCAGACGTTGCTCAGGGCGAGTTGTCATCCTTGATCTTTAGGAAACTGATGAAAACCAGAAACCTTTCCCTTACACACACACACACACACACAAATCCTGTATACAGTTTCTGCGGGCATCCAAATGGATGCCACGTTCAGACCCTGCTGTTGATTGTACCCAGCTGCACATGGGGCTGATGTGAAGGGCCAGTTTCCCCCTTTTGTTTCTTTGACCACTTCTCCAGCCTGGTGAGATCACCTGAGAATGGCATGAAATTGCTTCTGGCCAACTTGGCCAGTATTTCTCTCACTTCCCCTCCAGCATAGTGGCTGCTGCCCCAACCCTCAACTCTCCCTTGGGAACCAGATAACTTTCTCTTCCTGTCTGTAATAGAGGGAGAAGAGCATCCCTTTGTCACTGCTGATGCTGAAAATAGTACACTTTTCTTTTTCTTCTCTTTGACCACTGAATACGAAGACCCTTGCTTGCAGCTATGTAATGAAAACCACATCATTTTGATGCCTGTGGTTGGGAGGCCGTGGGTGAAGCTCTGTGAGGCCACAGTGCAGCCGTGAGCATTTCCTACCTCTCCCCTCTGAGCCAAGTGCTCTGGGTCTTCCCACAGTGCTTGGAAATGCTGGGGCCAGGAGTCAAGGGCCCAGTAAGAGAGCATTACAGGAAGGCCATCTTCTGTCGCCATGCTGGTCCCACTCTAAGAGCTGAGGATGTCCTCTCACTTCCCAACAATCTCTGCCATTTTACTCACTCCCTGGTAACAAGTGTCGACGTGGTGGTTTGCCATGATGGCGGCCCAATAGAATCACCTCAGGAGCTTTAAAAAAACACTGATGTCCAGGCCCCCTCTCAGAACGATTAAATCAGAATCTCTTGGTGCCCAGGCATGGGTATGTTTTAAAAGCTTCCTAGATGATTCTGATATACAGGCAGAGGTGAGAACCATTGCTTATGGTGTAGGGGGTTACAGATCATTTTCCTCGGATTAGCAACCTTGACTATTCAGAATGTACCCTCTGAATGTTTGACAAGAACATGATTCTTAAAGTTTTTTTTTCCTAGTTCTTATCAGGTTGAAGAGAAAAAACTATATATATATATGTATTTGATTTGAGGGATTACAGAGGTTCCATAAGAAATAAATAAACAGCCATTGCAAAATATAATTTTAAGCTCGATGAGAGTAAAATGGCCCCAGTATTCCAAAGAGCCAGGATAAGATAAAGGGAACTTGTAGCTGTTCTACATTTCTGAGGCTGAATCATTTTCTCACTTTGTTCACTGATTTAACAAACATGTATAAGGTGCTGTGGGAGAGAAAGAAACAGGCACCCAGACTCAAGAAATTTAGTCTTGAAGGAGAGTATAGGTCAGTGGTAGAGTGCATGTCTACCATGCACAAGGTCGTGGGTTCAATCCCCAGTACCTCCTTTAAAAATAAATAAACCTAATTACCTCCCCCTGCAAAAAATTAAGAAAATAAAAATAAATAACTTTTTTAAAAAATTGGGAGTGGAGACACCATAAGAACATTTATGTTTCAAATTTTTAAAAAAATCTACAGTCTAAGGGATGTGAACAAACTTTCAGAAACCAATAGCTCAATTAAGCTTTGAAGTTTGCCGTCATAACCAAAGGAGAAAATGTGAAAGTTTTTTATCTTCAATTCAGTAGATAAGAAACCCAAACACAGATAGGAGCAAAGTCTCAGCAAGGAAGGTGAACATTTTTCTGTTCAAGAGAAGACTTAACACTGAATGGAGAATCAAGGCAGGCATATTCTCTTTGGCTTAGTTGTTTTCTTCCCAGCATCTTGCCTGGCACCTGCTTATCACCACTTCCCGAGCTAACTCTTCATGCTTTGGGTCTCAGCTGCTTCTAGACGCCTTCCCTGATCCTCCCAAGTCAGGTGCCCCATGCTGAAGGCTCCCATTAGGAATTCTGGAAGCCTTCTGCCTGGGGTAGAATCCTAACTTTGACTGTTCCCAGCTGAGTGACCCTGGAGCAAGTTACTTACCTCCCTGGGTCTCAGTTTCCTCACTTGTGAAATGGGGATTAGAGGACTGATGGGGAGAGAAATGAGTTACAATGGGCAAAGCACTAAGCAGAGGGCATGCATAGGGTCAGCTGTGCATGTAGCTCTCATCATAACACCCTGGACTTGCCCCGCATAATCACACACTATCTGTGACTGAGTGGATGAGGGCTGCAGTGAAACCGGGA